ATTTCTGTTACTTTAAAATAAGTAGTCTAATTGTTCGTTGATTTCTATCAATAATATCATGATAATGATTATATGATTATCGATCAATTCTAAAATCTATAATTACAAATAATAAACTAGTTTACCTGATGTCATAGTACCATTAACTAATGGTGGTTTTTTTTCTTCTTCTCGTCTTAAATCTTGTGCATAATTAGCAATTTCTTCACTAGCTAAATTTGATGTCATTACATAAATTGCTTGTTTACCATCAATTGTTTTTCCTTTTCCATCCGTTAAACGTCCCTAAATTAAATTTTGTATTTGTCAATTTTGTTTTTTATTTTTATTCATATTTTACTTCATCAAATAATTGTAACATAACTGTTAAAACATCCGGATGTGCTTTATCAACTTCATCAAAAAGTACAACAGCTGCTGGACATTTTTTTAATGCATCAGTTAATTGTCCACCTTCTTGATATCCAATCTAAAAGAAGAAAGAAAAAACCGATAATCTTAAATCTTATTTTTCTTTTAATCAAACTTTCATATCCAGGTGGTGCACCAATTAATTTTGATACTTCATGTTTTTCTTGATATTCACTCATATCAATACGTATAAAACAACGATTTTGATTTTTTTCACCATTTAAATATTTTGCTATTTGTTTAGCTAATTCAGTTTTACCAACACCAGATGAACCAAGAAAAAGGAATACTAATGGTGATTCATCACTTGTCCAACCAGATTCTTTTCGTCGTATTGCTACGAGGACACAAAAAAAAACGAGCGCGATACATTGAATATAATTATTTATTTGTAAATTAACTAACCAGCACAAACTGTTGATATAGCATAATTTTGTCCAACAATATATTCTTTTATTCGAATTTCAAGTGGTCTTCGTCGTCTTTCAATTTTCATTCTATCTTCATGTAATTTTTTTGCCTAGAAAAAGAAAAAACTTTTATTTTGTTCTTAAATTCTAACAAAAACAAAAAACAAACATTTTTTTCAAATTGACTTAATAATTCTTTACGTTGTGGTAATGCATATGCAGATGGTAAATGTCCTTGTTCATTTTCAATTAAAGGATCAGCACCATTTTCAATTAAAATATTTATTATAGATAAATTATCATTTAATACAGCATAATGAAGTGCTGTAAAACCATTAAATGTTGCTCGAGATGAAAGACGATTACAAAATTCTTCTTCACGTTTTGTATGAACTAAATTTTTAAGAAAATTATTTAAAAAGATCTTTGTATGTTTTTCTTTTGATTTACCATGTATTGGATTCCAATGAAGTTTTTTTGCCATTGATTGTATATTAGTATATTCATCAGATTGATTTGGATCAGCACCTTTTGAAAGTAAATATTTTACACAATCAATTTGATTATTTATAACAGCAACAAGAAGAGGTGTCCAACCAAGTGGATGTCGAAGATTAACATCAAGTTTTTCTTGTTCAATTAATCTATTAGAAAAAAAAAAAAGATTAGTTTATCATTATGAAATTAAATAAAAAGCTTGATTATTTACTGTTGAAGAATTTCTAATCGACCATCATGAGCAGCTTGAAATAATTGTTTTTCTATGAATAAGTAATTAATTAGAAAAGATTTTTATGAAAGAAACAAAAAAAAAGAATATGTTCTCATACCACTGTGAGGTAAATCTTTTTCAAGTGCTTTTGCATGAACAATAAATGAACGAGAAAATTTTTCAAATGGGGATATTTTATAAACAGTTGTACTCAGTACAGCAGCTGTACCCAATGAAGTCCAAAGAAGACGATTATTTCGAAATGATAAAGGGGTATGAAAAGATGAAAATAGAAGTAAACGACGAAAAGTACGAAAGAAGTATCTGGAAGTCATCTAAAATGGATAAAAAAACATAAATAGGCTTAATTTTTTCTTATTTGAATTATTCCACAGATGAGGAAATCATTGGAAACGAATGGATAGGTCTTAAGAGTAGAGCAAAACAGATTATTTTTCCAGAGAGGTCGCTCTTACACAATAATGATTCATCTTTTTTCCAGAACAAAAATTTCCATCTGAGAGTTAAAAATGAGAGAAGATGAATTCTTTGATGAATGCCACTTAGATGAAATACAGTTAGTGTCTCTTTTATCAAACTAAAATTTTGCAATGTGTAATATTAGTACAGATCAGAAAAAAAATTGCAACTTGCATTTGAAGAAACATGCGAATATTTTTTACCAAAAAAAAGTTTAATTGTGAAGCAGAAATGTTTTACAAAAAAAAACTAGTGTTGCATCGTGAGCTTTTTCACTGTTGAAAATGTTTAATAGACATGTAAGGCTAGGCATCGAAAGCAACGAAAGGTTTTGGTAAATTCCAGTTATCTGACTTTGATTTTTCTTACAACTGTTCTTCACTTGTAATGAAAGATCCTCACTTCAAGTCATTTCCGCTGCATGATCTAATATTTGCCAGTGCAAAACTCAATATTTTCTAAGTCTGCTTGGTTAAGGAAATATTATTATTAGAGACCGGAATCGGTGAAAAATATTGGTGTTAGTCCAAAAAATATGATGCATTGCTCAAATCTATCAATCTAACGGGAAGAGAAAAGTGTTGGAGCCTATCCTACCCTCCGAAGTATGAATCTAGACTAAGCTGTTTTCGTTTGTTTGGAGTCAACTGATATGATTCTATGAATGATTTTCGATCTTGTTCTGTCTAGTGAATATATTTGTTGAATATATCAAATTAAACAATCACAGTGCACAACAAATTTAAAAAGCTTATTTTTTATTTTCATAGGTTTTACACTATTTTCACGTATTCTTTAATTATTGCACTAATCACTTCTAGTTCAAAACCCATGACTTGATTCTCAATTCGAGATTTTCACCATTGCTACGAAAGAGAAATTAGTATCTGTTTGCTTGAAAATAAATTTTTTTATTTTTCTTCAATTACAAGATTCTTTTTTTAGTTCTATTAAATCTTAATTAATTTCAAGCAACTACAGTTGAACCGTTCGGAAATACAATACCTTGTAAACTTTGTACTTTAGCTAATTGTTCATTTGTAATTTTTGCTTGATATAAATTTGTATAATTAAATATTGTGTAACATCTGTATTAGTCCAATACGTTCTTTGTAATGATACATGACAAATATCTGTATATGAACAATTTGAATTAAGAACTAATGAATCGTCTAAAATTAAATATGAAAAATTACTTTGAAATAAATAAATATTTTTTAATAATATGTTTCATGCTAGAATATTAATAAATTATAATTGATTATAAAAAAATTCTTGAGTAAAAAATTCATAATGATAAATCTACATGAGATATATTAATTCGATATTGTGAATATCACTGTCAATTAATAATTATATAAGAAAAATTTTTTCTTGCTGGGTCAAGTTATCTGAAAATATTTAAAATTTTTGTTCGAATAATCAATAAAACATGTTCATTACTAGTAGAATTATTTGAAAAATCCTATTTAAGAATAAGATTCATTAAATCTTGTTCATAAATATTTAATATAATTTGATGATGTTCATCATATAATGAGTGCATATATTTTAAATGATTATTGAATACCGTTGCTTTTGAATTTTTATGTTGATATTCACTTAAATTTTCTTGTTGTAATGGAAGAACAATTGTTAATATACCAATAATAATTGAAATAAAAAGATTTGATATTAAATTTATCTATTCAAATAATGAATAATTTAAACATTTTTTTTTAGAAAATTTATTTTTAAGCATCGAAAAGAATTTGTCTTTTTGATAAGAAAAGATGTTATATTCAACAAAATTATTCAACTATTTTTATTTATATTGTCGTATGACCTTTATCATTCTTTTGTTCTAAATAATTGATCGATCCATGACCCTCGCGAAGGAATGATGTCTAGTATATAGTAGAAGATTCTTTCTTAATTAATTTATGTATTGTAACCTCAATCAACATATTTAATCAGAAATAATGTAAGTTTTTCGAGATTCTCATCTGAAAACCAATGAAATATGAAATTAAAATGATTTTTACATCTTTTTAATCCTAGAAAAATATTTCAAATAATTCGGAATTGTCGCACTTTTCTTGGAAATCATTTTAATTATTAATTTTTGAGAAAAAAGGAACCTAACTGAAAGCTGCTTGGAAATATTTATTCACTTGGACATGACAATATACCTGGAATCTTCCATTATCGGGCGTGGAGGGAGGTTATTATGTATATATAAATAAATCCATAATTTTCACTTGTTATTAATTTTTAGTTTATTCAAATTAACTCTCTAAAGGATATAATTGATTTGTTAACATTTTGTTTTTCTTAGACAGGCAAGGAAAAGAGATATGTAAATACTTCCATTATTACTTATGATATCTTTTGTGATCCATTAGTCTTACTTTATATATCAAAGTTCTGATCTAAGCTACATTAATTCAGCTGAAAACCAAACTGAATCGTACTCATTTCTAAGTCATAACTATCGATTCTAATTGAATGTTTCTTGCTGTATGAGCGTAAGGTTGTTCTGCTTTTTTTCTAATGTATTTGGTTTTTTTTATTACACAATGTTGATGCAATTGTGGTGCGTGAACCATAATTGATAACGTATAATTTATTGAAATAAAATCAAAATTCTGCAGCTTTACAGGAAGAGATATTTATGAGAAAGAAAAATATAATATAGACTCTCATATATGAGTAAATAATGATGGCAAGACAGATGAATAAAGCAATCATGTCAAGAAAAAAAAATCTTCAGTTTATTGTGTACATGAATTTTATTTTATTTTTTGTCTTTTTATTTAACCTCTTGTTTGTTTTTTTGATGTACTTGAAACAAACTACAAAGGTTCAACTGATAAGAAAGTTGATTAAATCGACTTTTTTGTTAAGAGTTATATCTCCAAGAAAATTGTTGTTTCTGAGTCCATGATATCTATATATATCATGTTATCTATTACCTGTGACATCAAAATTCTTCGTTTATATCTAAAATGCATCTTGTGATATTTGTCTTACTATTAATATCATGTGCATATGATATAAAAGTTTCCATAGATCAAATAAAAGGACAATATAATATTAGTATTGATAATCAAATATGGTTTCGTTCATCTCGTACTGCTCTATATGTTAATGATCGTTGGTATTTATCGAATGATAGTACTCTTCCTTTAATCGATACACGTTTTGTACAAGGTAATGATCCAAATTTAGGTAATTGGAATGAAACTCAATTGATTTATATTTTAAATCGTAATGGAATAATTAGTAATATAACTGGACGTATTCGTCAATGGAATTCTCAATCAGCACTAACATTTCATTTAGATACTGGTGATAAAATTTTAATGAATAATAAACTTCTTGATAAAAATCAAATTCGAACAATATTTCCTTCATTTAATATTGAACAAATTGATGGAAATGATAATCGAGGTTATTTTACATTTCAAGGTATGAAATTAGTTGTTTTTTTTCTTGAATAATAGAATATAATTTTTAATTGAAATATTTATTTAGGTGTCATGATGGATTTTGATAGTCAACATGCTGGTATTTGGAATTCACCTAGTCAAATTATAAGAAATTCTTTAGAAGGTGGTCCAGTAGTTCTATTTGATTTAAATAAAAAAGGACAAGGTAATGTTGTTATTATTTCACCATTTTCTCAATTTATGGCAACATCATTAAATCAACAAGATAATATATTGCAATATGGTGTCATGGGTTCTATGATAACTATACCGGTTAATTATAGTAATTCTTTAATTTTATTTTATTCATCTGAAGATATCAATAAAGCAATTCATGATTGGAGACAAATGATGTAACGAGCATACAATCGAACTAATCAATATCGTTTAAATGATATAACTATTAAATATCTTGGTTATTATACAGATGGTGGAGCTTGATATTGTTATAACACTGAGTCGCAATTAAATTATCAAGATACAATGTTAGATATTCATAGAAAAATAAATCTTCCTTTTCATTATATTCAACTTGATTCATGATGGTATTATAAAGCTATTGGTGGTGGTGTTAGTCAATGGAAATCTCGTCCTGATGGTCTTCCAACACTATATCGTCAAATGGAAAGTATACCTCTAGCAGCACATAATCGATATTGAGCTCCGGATACAGTCTATTTTGATAAATAAGCTCTTCTTATTGATAATATTAATCAATTGTCTCTTCCAATAGGAAATGATTTATTTCGGATTGATTTATTAAGTGAAGCAGCACATGATTGCGGTTTAATTATGTATGAACAAGATTGGTTACATGTTCAATCTTCAAAATTTATTCCATTACTTACTGATATTGATCTTGATCGGCAATGGTTAATGTCAACGAGTGAAGGAGCTGATAAAGTTAATATAACTATTCAATATTGTTCATCATTTCCTCGTTATGCTTTACAAACTCTTGAAATATCACGCGTAACACAAGCACGTGTATCAGTTGATTATACAAGACATATTGTTCATCGAGAAGATCAATGGACTATTGGAATTTCAAGTTTATTATCTGATGCTCTTGATATTGCTCCATTTAAAGATGTTTTTTGGTCGACTACAAATGAACCTGGTTCAGCTTATAAACCATCACCTATGGAACCACTTCCTGAACGAGAAATAGTTATAGCTATTCTTTCAACTGGTCCTGTTAGTCCAGGTGATGTAATTAATTATACAGATAGTAAACGTATTACGAAATGTTGTCAACAAGATGGATTAATTTTAAAACCTGATCGACCAATAACTATGATTGATTTATTAATTTCAGATTGGTCTCAAAATAATGGAAATAAACAAGGAGAACTTTATTCAACTCAACCGACAATATAAATTTATTTATTTATTTTTTGCTTTCTTTTAATCTTCTTTTTTTTATTTATTTTTCTATAGAAATGAACAAATATTTTATATCATTTTTGCTTCAACTATGCAACGAGATTATTTAATATATCCTTTATTGATTGGAACTCATTCAGGAGTTATTTGGTCATATGAAAATCCATTGGAATTAATAATATTTGATAATAATCATCCACTTGATGTTTCAGCTAATAAATGTAATAGTTCATCATTTTGTCTTTGGTATGTATCACCTCTATGGCAATTTAATGATGTAAATAATACAACATATGCTCTCATGGGTGAATCAGATAAATGGACATTTGTTAGTTAACAACGATTTATTTCACTAAATATTAATGTAGAAAAAACTCAAACAACTATTGTTTTAGAAGGTTCAGCAGCTGAGATCGTGCAATTATTAGTCTATCATTCAGCAATGAATGTTCTCAATCTAAAATGTTTTCTTTCACCTATTACCGGTCAAGCACAATTGGTTGTTACACCATCAAGAGTTACTTGTTCTGGAGTGAATGGAGATAATTAAAGAATGAAAAGCAGATTTCTTTTTGCTGTAATTATTTAGTTTTAGAAAGTGAACTTGAGTTTAATTTTTTTGTTTTTGATCGTTTTTATATTGTTATAATTTTTATCTCATGAAACAAATCTTCTAGATAGTCAAGATTTTAAATATATGTAAGAAGTACAATGAAGATATGACTTATGTATGAGTATGTTTATATTAAGGAAGTAAAAAAAGCAAAATGAACGTTAGTGAATATTATTATATATATTGACATTGAGATAGAGTAAATAAGATAATATTTAACTGAGATTGAAGTTTGTAAGGAAAAAAGTAAACAATAAAATCACCAGAATAACTACATTTTGTGTCAATTTAGCAATCATCGAAACGAAAAGAATTTATTCTCGTGACATTGAATTTTCTCCAATATGTTTTATAAGGCATTAGTTTTATCAATAATTATAGCACAATTTCCTCGATAGACGAGTGTTTAATTACCATTTCGCATACTTGTTATTAGCCACAAATGGTTAATAGAAATATCTTTCGAGGTATGTCATAAAAGAAAAAATAATTTTATGAGTAGTTTATCAATATTATTCTCAATTATTGTTCTCATTGTCACTTTTCAATATGTGATCAATCACTTCCATCTCATTAAACAAGCTACTGATCTTATAAGTTGTTAGACTCCTTTTGAGAAAATTGCACAAATGATTACAAAAACTCGATGCTATATTACGTTTAGGTCTACCTGATTCATAATCATAGTCAAAAAGTTTAAAGAGCATAGCTTATTCATTTCGAACTTCTTTTTGTGATGATCTTTCTGGAGCAACTAGATTTTCAATGTTCATTTATCATGCTGCTATATTCAATATGAAACTCATCTATCTTATGATTATTTTTATCTTGTGCATCTTCTTAGTTAAGTAATTAACATTCGTTAAAACATAGTTATAATATCGTAATATTTTCCAATATTTGCATCTTTCGTTCAGACTACTCTCTGGAACTAAATCGTTGCAGTTAATATTTTTATGACACATGATGGAGTTGTTTCGTATAATTAATAGGACAAATTAATGACACATATAAGAAATTGCGACTGAATATGAACTTCTTAGTGTAATTTACAAAGGAGACACATCGTAATTTTGTATTTTACCGTACTTTAACGAAATATGTGTACTTTAAAGTATACAGGTATATAATGTCTTCTCCTTGGAATTTTAGCAGGTACATTCTACTATAGTTAGTATATACAAGAAGAATGAAGCTTTAAATAATGATAATATCACACAAATGACTCATTTTGTATTCGCGTTCTATAACATGCGTAATGAAAATAATACAAAAATCATGAAAGGATCGAATAATTGTCATGAAATTTACTTTCATATTAGGCATATAATAGAGTACACCAATGAATAAATTATAATATTTTTCTAATCATAAGTTCAATGTAAAATTTACTAAGCTTTACGAAATAATATCCTCTTCAATAAAATGTCTCACAATTTTAACAACTAAAACCTATTATTCTAATTAAATGTTGTGCTATTCTACCTTTCTGTATATATTGACTGATATAAGCAACAAATGATGATAATATTTTATTCTTATAATAAAGTAAAGAGTTGAATAAAAAAAAACAGTAAATATAATTAACAGTCACATCCATCACAACCACCACAGTCACATCCATTGCCAGAATCATCACAAGAGCAACAACCACCATCACCATTTGCATCTGAATATTTACGGTTCAATAACCATAAACAACAACATAGATCAAAATCATCACAAAGAAACCATGTAAACCAACTGTTTGAAGAATTTGATTGACGTTGTTTTTGCTTAGATTTGTCTTCATTTGTAACTGGTTCTTGTATATATTCGGAGTCTTCTGACATGTCAGGCTGTTGTGTCACTGGATATTGATTTGCTATTTTGTTGCTCATTGTATAAATTGATTTCGTGTGCGTATTTTATCTTGTACAATCTATATATTTGAAATGAATGAAGGCAAAAAAGATGTCTGATTATTTATCGTAGAATTTATTTCCTTTCGTTGAACGTGGGGTTAAACGCTGAATGAACGGACTTTGTTCATTACTGACTGAAAGAGAAAGAAAGAAGTATACCATTGTTATAGGTGACCGAGCGCGATGTGACGAATTGGACGAAATAGCTCTATTGCTATCGTCGAAAATAATGCTTATTGAGCTACTTCATCGTTCTATTTCTATGTATATCAGTACAAACACACACTTATACACTAGTCACATATGAGAAGAGAAAGAGAAACACACATCGTCGAGATGTTTACACTATGAAGAAGTACAGTGCTGCCACCTTTTGAAGTTCGAAAAGCAGAAAGACAGCAGAAGGTATGTTTATAATATGAAACTAACGGGTAGCTCGTAATAAAAGAGGGTCTCAGTATTTTATTAATATCCTAAATGTTATCTTATCGCTCATGCTTTAGTCTTTTATCGAAGGATTCATCGTCTGATTCTGCAGAAATTGATATATTTCGCTGTAAAGCACACTTATCTCTCTTTCAACATCATCATGATTCAAAACAAACATTACACACAACTTTCAAAATCTCTATTTTTTTCAATTTTTTCCGAAAACATCCAGTCCTTAGATTAGTCTTATTATCATTGGTTGTGCCATATTCTTTATCCAGAAATAAAGTAAATTGCATTTGGTACGTTGATTGAAATGAACCAATTTATCTCTTGAGTGCCAAACAAATTATATCCAAACTAGCAGGATTAATTGAGAAACTGGACATTTTGGAAAAAAAATTGAAAAAATGAAGACTTGAAGAGGTAGGATATCTTGGGCCTGGATTCGAGTATTCCGCAACTGGATTCTCCTGTAGGTTATACCAAACGGTGAAAACGCTATACCAAGATAGATCTCGACGAGATCTATCGATTCCACTATTTACTTTTTTTCCAAGACCCCCGCTTCATGGGAAAAAAACCAAAATACTGACAAAAAATAAGCAGAAAAAAAAGCAT